GAAAAGGAAAAAAAAAAAGAGTGAGAAATCTTCCATTGTGAAAGGGAAAGAGTCTTGGCTGAGAAGTATCACATATTGGAACAACAATTGACTCTTCCTTCCTTCCTTCCTTCCTTCCTTCCTTCCTTCCTTCCTTCCTTCCTTCCTTATTATTTGGGACACTGGATGTATTATATCACAGTTTGATTAATATAGGAAAATGTTGTAAATTACTGTGCTGCTGCTTGTTACTATTCTGAGAAACATGACTTGAACCTAAACTAAATAATATTGGCATTTGACCACATGCATTACCTCCACATTTCTTCAGATTCTGAATACACTTTGCTGAAACACAGCATAAATACAACTGGAGATTCACATATGATGTCAGATTTGGAATTGTTACACTTGAATATTCCTTTGAAGACAATTTAAAGAAGTTAGTTAACCAATACTTAAATTGCACATTGCTTTAAATGTATAGATATCAATGATTTTTCTTTTTCTTTTTGCATTCTGAAAGAAAATTTGGGGGTTTAATATGAACCCTAGAATAAAGCATAAGAGTTAGGGTTCAATTAATTTAACAGTGCTAAGGTCGTTTTTGTGCAAATACTTGCCAAGGTTTTGTGAATCAGTGATTCCGATGAAACCTGATACATATGCTAATCTAATATTTATAGAATAGCATTTAGCTATATAGAATTCAGTGGAAGAGGAGACCGAGTCTTGACCCTTTACCCAAGGAACAGGATCCACTTCCTGCCATTAGAACACCAGGACAAGTATAAACCTATCCAATTTAAAAAAGAAAATATGTGCATGTATGCATTTGCTCACACAGGTACACAGACGTTTACACATTTCCATTTGAATTACATTTATTTGTTAATTTATTTTATTAAATTTATATAGCTGCCCATCTCACACTTGTGACTCTGGGCAGTGCACACGGTAAAAAGAAAAGAAAAAACCCTGTGGTTGGGACGGTTCATTACTGAGATAGAATTCCTCCTGATAGATAGAAACAGAAGATTCAGTTGTAAGGACCAGTTGAGGTGGTCTAAACAGTAACTGATGAGGGATGATCTGACTTATCAGGGAATATTGCATGCTCTTGATGTATTCTGGGAACTGATCAGACATAATTGTTCTCTGTGATGCCCAAATGACACCAGAGTCAAGCACCTGGATAAATCCTTGTTGTCATTGTTGATTTCTGGATGGAAATAAAGGTTCCACATTTGCTCATTTGCTCACACATAACCACTAGTGGGTTACAGAACAAACTTTTTAATGAGTTTTACAATTTGTACATATTCCATACATTGCTAAAAAGGTTAGTTATGTATCACTGATTGCCTGAAATATGCTTTTTGTCTTGTTAGTTGCTGTTTACTACATGAGCCATCTGGGGCTGTAATAAGAATAAAAACTTCATGTGCTCCTAGGTACAATAAAGGTCTCCCACAATCTTTTCCCAAAGTTTCAAACTCTGGTGCATTTGGTTTGTTAACAATGATAAAGGAATAAGTTAATTTTTGCTTTCTCATTAAAAGTTTGACAAAGATGGACTTGAAGAATCAGTTTTTATTTCAAGTTTTTCAAACACATACAAACCATATATGAATACAAAGTAATCATGGGGTGTGAATATGTAGATTCTTGTTTTATTCTGCACTGTTATTCAGTCTTAAATCTGCCTGGTAGACTGGAGGGAGAAACCAGGAACACCAGATTAGAAGACTATTTTAGGAGAATGTGTTCAGTTATGAGGATATTTATCTACCTACCTACCTACTTACCTACCTACCTATTATCTGAACAGCTCAGTTAACAGAACTCATTGATAATTGATTAAAAAAGTCAGATTTTCTTTAAAAAACAATTGGATAGAGGACTAAAAGTGTTTTTCTTCTTTCCATTCCCTCTTATTAAGAGATCAATTCTACATAGAGTTGAAGTATAATTTGCTCAATGACTTTTATATTCAGATCCCAGTTTCACACCACCATATTCATACAACTAGAAATGTCTTTTGCCTTGTTTTCCCTACAATTTCAGAACTATCAGTAAGTCTATCAGCGTGATTTTGTTCTGTTGTGCCTGCAATTAGGATACATTGCTGATCCTGTTCAATTTGTACAAGTTTGTTATATAATTTTTATTGTTTCTGCATAGTAATACTTAATTCCATTTTAACATTGTTGAATCAAGGTCACCTTCCTAATGAGTTTATTATATTGCTGCTGCTGCTGCTGCTGCTGCTGCTGCTGTTGTTATTCTTATTATAGTTTTTAAAGATATGTTGAGATATTTTTCTTTTGGCTAACCTGCTATGTTTTTTCTCCTCTAGGTGAAATGAGAAATGATTTATATATCACAATAGAAAGAGGAGAATTTGAAAAAGGAGGAAAAAGCGTGGCCAGAAATGTGGAAGTCACATTGTACATTGTGGACTGTGGTGGACAAATTTTGAATGTAACTTCTGTTTAACTTCTTTTCTTATTATAAATACTATTTCAAATGGCAACTTTTTATAATGAGGAAGAACCCAGAGATTATGTTCCTGGCTGACTAACATTAGGATATTTTAATGTCTGAATTAAGCTCTGCACTCTAATATGCACTAAAGAGAAATCTATGTTCTAGGCACTGATGATATCATAATATTAATTTCAAACAATCTGTTGTTAGGCCTGTATAATTAATGTAATGAAGCTGAAAAGAGATCATGAATTATGTTGATATTGGACTGGACCTATTAAGCTGCTGCTGGATCTGTCTGAAGTCTTCTCAATAGCTCTAGATGCAATTATCAACTTCTTATTCCAATATGCCCTAAGCAGGCCCATGAAGAACAAGTAGACATTCTTTGTACACCAAGGAACTGTCTGTTGCACCCTATATAAGCTGTATCCAAGGCCTAAACCATTGATGGATATCCTAATAGTCTCCCTGGTTTCCAAGTGTAATCTTAAAAGATGGGGATGATATACCTAAACTTCCTGGTGACAAATGTAATGATGTTCTATTTAAAATGGCAAAAGAATGACAGCAGCAAGCAAATCCCTGATGACTAAGGAATGATACTGTGATCCAAACAGACTGAACGATTCTCTAAAGCCAGTGTTCCAAAGCATTAACAAACTGGCAAATATCAGGCCTTCATGGCTGACTCTGACCTAAATTAATTACAATTCTTGGTCAGGGCTGTAGAGGCAGCCATACATTTTTGGATCGTGACCTGGAACATAGATACCAAGTCTGGTTCAATACTAGCCTCTAGTGCCTTCACAAGTGACAGATCTTTTTGCCCCACCCAAGGCTCTGGTCAAAACAAAGAACAAAATAATGCTCTTCTGGCCACCTCTACCAAAAGGTAAGACAAGTGGCCTGTCTAGATCCAGGCTCAGGTTTTTTTTTTTTTTTGCTATTTGTATCCTCAATCTAGGTCAGAGACACAAAAGGAGATCTTGAAAAGCCATTGTTCATTTACTGGGAATTAGTGCCCCTGGCTCACAATGTTTCAGAATGCTATTAAATTTTCTTCATAGTGCCCCAAAAGAGCCGGGATTGGAGAACCATCCTGAATTTTAAATGGGCCAATTGGCATGGCAGTATTACATGTTTTTCATGGAGAAATTAAAGTTCATCTTAGGCTAATGAATCCTGGGCAGAAAGTAAACTATCTGGATGATGAACGTCATGGCTTCAGATAGTCTGAACATCAAATAGCCCAATGTTTTCTACATTTTATTTTCATTTCCTTTTTTTTGATTTGACTAATGCAAGAGGCAGAGATAAAGAGGCAGAAGTTATTTGCCGTTGATTTGCCATAAGCCATGCAATCAGAGTGGACTGTCTCCCCCAGGGAATCTAATTTCACCCCTAATCTAAGCTGGTTACAATTACATATCTGGAAATTTAAAACCAAGCCTTGTGCAATATAGACTACAGTGTTGCTTCTGTTCAGACCATCTTAGCTTCCCATGGAATATCCACAGACAAATTTAATAGAACACCTGATATGCTTTTTGCTGCTTGAGAAGGAGGAAGGGGATCAGGTTGGTGATCCCTTTTCCTGAGATAGTGGCTTTGTTCCAGTCAGGTCTTCACCAGAACCTAAAATCCAACACACAACTGAGGGATCATCTGTCTCTTGAGTGCCCACACATAAAGACATACATGCCACTGGAGTCTCCTCCCATTTAATGTCCCCTTCTGAGGTTTTCAGCTGATTCTGAAAATGTTAGCCAATCACCCCTTCAAGTCTATCAGTCCAGTGAATGTAAATATGTTACCTGGAAAGTGACCTTCCTCATAGCCATATTATCCAGGTATGTCTTTGGAGCTGGCAGTCTTATCAGCCAGTGAAGAAAGCTGTGATGACATCCACTCTGTGGTCTTATACACAAATCCCATATGCATGCCCAGTGTGAACTCCACTGTCCACAGGGCACAACCTACCAGTCTTCTGCCTGCATCCACCTGCTGCCTTAGAGCAACATTGGCACAAGCTTGATCTCTGAAGAATGCTAAATATGTACTCCAAAAGGATCAAAGTCTGACAGTGTTCAGATGATCACTTCATTTCCTTCTGGCATGTCTTTATCACAAGATGTTCTCCCCAGCTCTTTCAAAGGGAAGGATGGTATTTAAATGAAACCTGAAATGAAATGTTAAGTAACTGTTTCACACAGTTGAGAAGCACATTATATTATACAAATTGGTCTCTCTCACACGCTTAAAAAAGGATTTGCTGTTTTCTTGTGTTTGCCTTATCAGTATTTTGAATAAATGAAAAAAATTGGACTATTGTAGTGAATTTCATTGAAATATCCAGAATCATTATACAGTCAGCACTGTGAGGTGGGTGGCTATGTATATTGATTGACTGATTGACTGAATGAATGAATGAATGAACGAATGGATGAATGAATATGCTCCCCATGACAATTGGAAAATTTGATATAATTCTTTTACAGAATCTCTTTGCATTAACAACTGCATACAAAATAAAACCATGTAACTGCAAACTGATACTGAAGTTGCAGACTAACGTTAAGGCAAAATTCATGTAAAAGGAGAAAAATGAGAAACAGTGAAACTGATATGCTTTCTTACTGGGTCAGCAATAAACATTTTCCCTGCCCCATGTCATAAGTTAAACGTACCTCAGTGTCTGTTTTACCCACCACTGGCTTATGCCTTCCAACAGTACATGGAACACAAGATTATTTTGTTTAGATCTTTCAAGATACTGACCATTCATTGTATAACTCAAGTAATTTTTTTTTAATGCTTTCTTTTTAAGGATTTTATCTCCTTCGGCTCTGGAGAGCCACCAGCCTCTGAATTCCATTCCTTTGTGTTGTATCATAACAACAGTCCCAGGTGGGCTGAGCTGCTGAAACTTCCTATTCCAGTGGATAAATTCAGGGGAGCACATCTTCGGTTTGAATTCCGCCACTGTTCCAGTAAGACCTATTCAGAAGCGGTAGTGCTTTGGTATTACAGTTAATATTCTCTTTTCAAATGCCTGCTGGGTGCTACCTTATAAATGAATTTCTGGTATATGGAAGAGGAAAGGATCTCATACAGGCATCACAATGAAAAAAAAAGTATCCACTGACAATAGCAGCTTTGCATTAGCAATATCCTGCAAAAATAAATGCTTGGTCATCTGTAACTGAAGATTAATTATGCTTTTAAACACAAATGATCCAAGAGACAAATGTAGCTGTAAAGTTTTTCCATAGCTTTTGCACTATGAATTGGTATTCATTTTCTTAAAAGTTTGCACTTAGTCCAGGTGCAAATGATAACCTTATCAGACCAAATCTGAAGTTCTATAACTTAAAATGTTGCTGCTTTCAAAAAAAATGAGGAGAAAAGATGTAAGTTAAGGGCTACTGAGTCGTAGGATGAATTGTGGAGTGAGAAAGAAGTGGAAGAATAGCTGATACTGGATTAGAATCTCTTGCCATTTTTATTCAGAGTAGAGAAAAATGTTGCTTAAAGGAAGATACAAGGAGTTGTTAGAAGATTGTGACTTTTTTCTTCAAAAATTTCCTGCTGGTTTTTAGTGGGGGGGGAAATGGTTGGTGGAGTTGCCTTCCTTTCTTTTCCTTCCTTTTTAATCTCTCTTATTTACCACAGTTGTGGGAAAGGTTTGTTTAGAATCCCCTAAGCAGCTAGGATCATTAAACTATTTTAGTGAACCCAGTAACTAAATTTGAAGTAATTTCTAGTTCATGATAGGTTTAATGTACCTTTTTTAATGAAAAAAGGTCATGAATATAAATATTGATATTTAATTTAATTTAATTATTTAATTAATAATTAGGCTGCTAGCAATGTGCTTTTCCTATGCATTCTAACTTTAAAATAAGTTATCCTAAAGTAAATTTGGTGGTGTTCCACTGCATATGCATGTAGAAACAAAAATGCATGTAAGTATTGATTAAATTATAGGTATAATTGTGTGATCTGGATGTATAGCCTTCCAGTCTTGACTCCTAGCAACTCCTAGCCTGGACAAATCCATGCAATTTTCTTAGAAAGATTTTCAGAAGTGGTTTGTCCTTGCCTTCTTCTTCCTAGGGCTGAGAGAGAGTGACTGGCCCAAGGTCCCCCAGCTGGCTGCACCAAACTGGTTCTCATGCTGATGGTAGCAATCTTGAATTTAATTAATTTTAATTTAGTGGGAATAAAATTGATCACGTCTAAATTGTATCACGTACGTTTCATTTGTAACTCTTGAGTGCTGGCCTGCATGCTGTAATTAGTTGTAGATTATGGTTAAGGTATGCCATTGCTCACTACAGGGAAATCTGTTGACTATCTAGCACTCTGGCTTTTAGTTGCAAATATACATGTAATTTTACATTCTTTTAATTTATGCATTCTTATTTCTAGCCTAGAACATGATGTATTTTTAATGTGTATGTGTGTTTCAGCAAAAGAGAAGGGGGAGAAGAAGTTGTTTGGTTTTTCTTTCGTCCCTCTGATGCAGGAAAATGGAAGGACCCTGCCAGATGGCACTCATGAGCTCATTGTGCACAAGGTATTTTCAAAAAGAAGCGAGAAAAAGCATAGCTTATTCAGTAAAAAAATCCTAGAGCTGCCCTTATATTCAGACAGATTGATTCAACTGTCAGAAGAATGCTAGATTTGTCATTGTGTAACATGTCCTTTCATTATATGGTTTCCAACTTATGCTGCTGGTTCTTCATATCACACACATGCACATGTGCATAAATCAGACTGGCTCTCTCACACACACACACACATATACAGATAGGTTATTCATACTTGCATATATATTTGCATTTAGTTCTCTGTCAAGGTTAAATCATATAACTATCTTGGAAGAAATTCCTCCATTACAATACAGAACATAATCTTAAATTATGACTTTGTAGGACACAGTTCATTTATTTAAATACCTTACCCTATCCTATATACGCTAAATAACTTCATCTTTAAAAAGACTTAACAAAGATGGAAAATATTCTACCTTTTTTGTAGTTACAGAATTTGTTATGAAACATGCCAGCAAAACCAGTATAATTTTTTTTCTGAATACATTAGTGGCTTGCAGTTATGTGGTTTATGTTGTAGTTTTTCACTGAATAGAAACATTTCTTTATAAAATTAATGTGCTTATTTTGATTTAAGTAAACATTTAAAGCATTATGAAACATCTTTTTAAAATTCTATTTTTTCCAGTAATGTGTTAGCATTATCTGGCTGTTAAAGAACTGCTAGAGTTTTTAATTTTAGGGATTCTTATGAAAAATATGTGTTACTGAACTGTAACACTGTTTTGTTAGTTCTTCCTATAGTTACAGTACTTTAAAAAGAATTGAGGGCTAGTCCCCACCCTTGATAAATTTTAACTATTACGTTAAAGATGTAGAACTTAGTAGCCACATTTAGAGTAAATTGTGGGATCCAGTTAGGATTGGGACTTGAGAATGAGGACTGAAAGTAAGTGGCAGGTACAATGTGGGTCAGCAGTATTAGAACCACAAGTGGGCAAAATATTAAAGTTGTTCTAAGTGCCACACTAGAGTCTGAAAACTAGAATACTGGGTTATTGGGTTTACTGTAGAATAGAAAGTTTTATCTATTAGCTATATCCATTAGGTGTCCAGATACTGATGTAAAAGAGAACAGTAGAAGCAAACACAAGGACACTGAATTAGAAATAAAGAGAAATACGTTTTTGCAGTTACAGTACACAAAATTGCCTTGAGACCGAAGTGTAGGTACCCATTCAATAAAATGAGGTAGGGTGGCGTCATGTATAACAGTCTTTGCTTGGTTATTCCACTGCATGGGAACTATGATGGTGTCAGAGCTTAATAGAAAAGCTACATTTTGAGAAAGGATTTATTTATTTGTTTATAAGATTGGTAAGGCCACCCAACTCAAGCATTGTGACTCTGGGTGGTGTATGGCATAAGATGACAGTTCTATGCTGCATTTTATTTCATTTGGTGTAGTGAGTTAAAATGCAAATTTAATTGTTCTCTCAGTGTGAAGAAAATATAAGCCTTCAGGATTCTAGTCGCTACCTCAAATTTCCCTTTTCAAAAGGGCATCTCCTTGCAAACAACCACCAAGCAGTAAAGTCTACTAAGGAATCATTCTGGATTACATCTTTCCTGTGTTCAACTAAACTCACACAAAACGGTAAAGTGTAATGCTTAATACAATATAATAGATGGGTTTATTAATACTAGGGTGTACTATATAAACTTGTGAATAAGCTGATAATGTTAGGTGCCAAAATACACCCAAAAAATCGAGTTCAGCCTATTTGTGGATGGGCTTATCCATGAGTATATACAGTATATCAGTACCTCTATTTTCCACATACACTCGCATATAAGCCCATCCGTGGATAAACAGACCCTCATATTTTTAACCAAAATACCATGAAAAATGCAGGTCGGCTTATCCACAGGTTGTGCATTTTTCATGGTATTTTGGTTAAAAATTCAAGGGTTGGTTTATCCATGGATGGGCTTATCCATGAGTATATACAGTATTACAAACACGTTTTATAATTTAATATTAGCAATATTGATGCTGAATGGTTTATTGATAATAAACTATTGATTGGATCAACATATGAATAAATGATTTGTTGATCTGTTTGTAAGCAGACTAAGAAATTGGCAGTTTTAATGTGACAGTATTTTTTTTAAGTAGCACAGCTATGCAGTATTTTTTTTTAAATTACCAATTAAAGCTTTCTGATTTTTAAAAAATCCCAGTGATGTGCTTTTCAGTTTATTGTATCAAAATATTCTGATATATAGGAGGACTTCTGAGGAGTGTTATTAGGATTAGTAATTCTTTTTGGCATTGAATATAATGCATGACACACATTTAAATAAATGGAGCAAAAAGGCATAGTTAAATGTTTAACAGTGCAATTCTATTTCTCTACTCAGAAGTAAAATTCATTACATTCTTAGGGAATTACTTATGAATGAATATAATGAATGTTACTTTTCAGGTGTCATAATTTATTCAATAGCATGTACAGATTTGCAGCCTAAAACTCAGGCTTGACTTAAGGGAACTTAGGTATACAATTTTTTTCTTTTGCCTATTTCTAAAATTATGTATATATAGTAAATTTTTTATTTACAATTGTAGTATTTCTGCTAAACTTTATATGTGTGTGTGTGTGTGTGTGTGTGTGTGTATAATAATATAAATATATATTGTAGGAGATATGCTTGACCTTCTTAAATGGCGTGCCCATCCAGAAAAAATTGCAGGTTGCCTCTCAAAACTGAAAGAAATTGATGGTTCTGAAATAGTGAAGGTGAGTATGATTGGCACTGTTTATTTTTCTCACCAGGACAAAATATAACAGTAACTTTTCCAAAGGCTATAGTTCTTAAATATGTCTTTCTTCACCTAGTTTCTCCAAGATACTCTAGACACTTTATTTGGGATTTTAGATGAAAATTCTCAAAAGTATGGCTCTCAAGTATTTGACTGTTTGGTAAGACATATTTCATTATTCACTGTGTTTATTTTGATTTTTGAAATTGGCTAAAATGCACTAATATACATTTTTTTCCTTAGGTTCACATAATTAATTTGCTGCAGGACAGCAAGTTTCATCATTTTAGGCCAGTTATGGATACCTACATTCAAAGTCATTTTGCAGGAGCTCTTGCATACAGGTAGAATGGTTTCAATGCTTTGAATACAGATGTAATCAGATGATTGACAATTAATAGCAACTTCAAATATATTGCAGCCTGCATGATCAAAATCAAAGTGCGATTAACTGATATTTTAAATTAATTCTATTTTGTTAGTAAAAATTGATCTGAACTATTACATTCAGTTAGCAATACTAAATCAATTATCTGTCACATTTTGCTTTCTTATAAGCATGCGTTCATATTTGTCTCTGTTTTCTGATTTTGGAAATGCTTCATATTAAACCAAATTCAAGAAGGTTTCCCCCAATTCCAAACGGATTTATTGGTAGTCCTTAAAGGACATGGTTTGAATATGGATAAATAAATCAGAGCACAATCAAATCTGAGAGTACAAAAGCAATAGTGAAGGGTCAAGGAAAGAATTTAGGTACTAGACAAGTGCAACACTTTGAATTTGAAGGCTTGGAGTTTGGGTAGTGCTCACACAGTGTCTGTTTTAAACAATGCTTTTCTTGGAATCATATAGCCACTGTGGAAAGTACCTCTTTGAATCTAGAAAACGTTAGGCTGCTTTAAGGAGTTGCAGAAAGGTACTGCATTTATATTCCATGTGTAGTGAAGGACTTTTTTGCCTTTTAATCTGAAATGCTGCACTGCCCTAATAGATACATGACCAGTTATGGCCTTATAGTATGCTTTAATGGGCCATGGTTGTTACACCTAAGCTGGAATAGTGAAATACATCTTTATTTCTTCTCCATATAGGAAGCATTCATGAAGTGGTTATTCTCACAAAATAATACATCTTTCAAGTCCTCATTTGGTCTGCCTTTGTTCAGTCTAATCTGACTCCTTCAAAGTTAGTGATGTGGTAGAATTATCAAGGATTTTGAGAATCTCTCCATTGATTTCCATTTGAGATCTTTCACTGAACCCAGCACTGAATTGGCTGAAATGTTCTCTTTAGGAATTTTCATAGCTAATGGACCATATTCATTAAAGAAATATCTGTTTTATACCAAATCAGACCATTGGCCTACCTTGCTTGAGGATAGAGTATTATTTATATAAATGGCACATTTAGCTATGATAACTTCTGTCCCAGTTCAAAGCTAAATTACATAATCTCAGATATATGATGAGATCATGGGAATGGAGACAGAAAGACAATGTGCAGACATTGATTGGCAGTATGGATTGACTGAAAATATTGAGTGAGGAGAATCATGTCCTATTCAGACTGTGAGAGCAAGGATTATTGAGAATGTTTGAGTTTTTAAGGTCTGGAGATGAAAGCCAAAAATGTGGTACAAGATGTTTATGAGTCATGCCAGACTCAGCCAAAATTCCATGCAGTGGAGGAGTCTCAGTGTTTGAAGAGTGATATTTTAGAGGAGTTCAGTGACCTTGCACGTGCTGGAATGAGGTTGACTAATGAGCTTTCCTTCTATTGTTAGAAAGTGAGGTATATTTGTATCTTAAAAGCAACCCAAACTTTATTATATTTGTGAATATATATGCCAACAATAATGCTCTATTCTCTATATTCATAATTAGGTAATCTAAATATAATTAGGGGGGGAAAGAAGATTATTCTCTCTCTTTTCAGTGACATTTCATTTGAATTGCTCTGCAATTCTCTGCTCATTTCCCTGGGAATAGCTTATTTAGGCTTAATTTTCAGTAGATACATGTACTAATTAAATTATGAATTGTTCTTCATGTCAGTCATTGGGCTACTTAACATGAATTAAGATTTCAGTGCAGAACTAAGTTTTGTTTTATATTTTAGAGATCTCATAAAGGTATTGAAGTGGCACGTTGATCGAATTACTGAAGTAGAAAGGCAAGCACACAATCAGGAGGTATTAAAGGTAATAAAACTGACAGAGACAATATAATCTCACCTAGCTTTTTCCAACCTGCTTCAGTTCAGAAGCTTTTACTGGATTACAGTTCCTAGAATTTCCAGTTAGCATGGCTCCATTAGTCTGACACATCTGACAAGAAGCAGATTGAGGAAGCTGATTTAATATTATTGTTAATATTGCACATAAATATACAAATATTAATTTATGGTAAATGAAGTTACCATGACATGCATCCTGAGTAGAGTAAAGTTACATCTTCCTGGGCAACAGTATTTTTATTAGCTTTTCTCAAACCTCCTGTCCCATCAATTCACCCTGAAGCTTGGGTGAGTGAGAGGTTGCACCTGTGGAAAGAACTATATGGACACATGATATATATTCAGTATGTGCACAAAATGGATAAATCCTGTTTAGAAGGTGACAGTATAAAGAACAGTAACAACAAGATGATATTTACATAGATAATAGTTTGTATTCATATTGGAATCTGATAGAGAAAGCAATACAAATAGAAGATTAGAGATAACTGATGTGATATGTAGAGTTTATTGCTTAAGTTATGGTGATGGCAAGATAAAAAGCCCACCTTTTCACTTTTGGGAACCAGTAAATATTAATAATTTTTCTTGGCCTTGCTAAAGAGTCTGTTGAATAGCTATGAAGATATCAAAGAACTAGAAACAAAACCTCTGATTAATATCTCTCTGATAATAGCATATGGATATTATTGTGAATGCAGTTTGGGAAATAGCATTTGTGGTAACAGATATTATCTGTTGACTAAACCATGAGTAAGATACAATGCATTTAAAGCACCTTACTTCTAAATAGTGACGGATAACATTACACTTTACTATGATAAAGCCTGGGATTTAAAATATGGGTTCAAATTTGTATTTAAAAATATTCATATTCTGACAATAGGCCTACATTTTTCCTTTGAGAATTTATTAGATTGTCATCACTTCAGGAAATTGACATCCATTATCCTAATGAAGGTTATCTGGTTAGTTGTGAAGGTGCAGACTATTTGCATGAAGGGTCTCCAACTGCAAGATTTTTTTCTGTATCAAAGCAACGTACCTTGGATGATGTTGCAAATGGTTTCATATTGGAACCAATGTAAATTGATTATATGGTTATGTGGCCCAGTGTAATAAAATAACTGCAATAAAAAGTCACCTAGCTAGTGATAAAAGCTGGCTTCTAATTCCCCTTAGTTTGCAAAGCATGCACATTAAAAAAAATGAGTGAATTTAACAAAGAATAAACATGAAGAGTTGCCATTTTGTGGTGTAAGCTATTCATTTTCTGTCTTCTTTTAGGATATATGCTATCCAACTAGTGCTGTCAAAAATATGTTTTTTATTTATTTTAAAGAGGGAATGATATAATATCACAAATTTTGATTTAACATTTATAGGCACAAGAATATATATTTAAATATATAGTTCAGTCTCGGAAGCTATTCTCTCTTGCTACTGGTGGACAAAATGAGGAGGAATTCTGCTGCTGTATTCAAGAGCTTTTGATGTCAGTACGATTCTTCCTTTCCCAAGAAACTAAAGGAACTAGTGCTTTATCTCAGGCCCAAGTAAGTTGTGCAAAAATACTGCCTTACACTATTATTTCTGTTTTTCACATTGCTTCTGTGTATGGTAACTGAAACTTAAGAATATAGTCTTGTTTAAATGTGATATGTTAACGCTTCTGGTCTACTTTCATCTGCAATGACATTTTACTTCATTGACGTCTTGGTAACAAAAGTTGAATCAGACATCTGACAGTACTGTTTTTCTATATCAAGCCTTTGGCTAAATTAACAAGCTATGGGTTTGTTTTGTTTCCAGTTGTCTTCCATGAATATTGATTCAGATGCAGTGATGCTAGTCCTTCTTGTCCATCTTCACCATAGTCCTAGGATTTCTCATATTCATTTTAAAACAGCAATTCATAATAATGTTATTTATATTCTTTTTTCCTTTGAAAAGATTAAAAACTAGTAAGAGAAAATTCCAAATATTTGTTGTTCTTGGAAAAGAGAAAAAATTTAACCTTTAAAATTTAATTCAAATAAAGTTTAAATTCCTTTTTGTGTCTGTCTGAAGATTTGTAATATAATTCAATTTCTCCGGGTTTATTCTTAGGCAGTCTTTCTCAGTTCCTTCCCAGCTGTATATTCAGAATTGCTAAAGCTCTTTGATGTGAGAGAAGTAGCAAATTTGGTTCGTGATACTCTAGGGAGCTTGCCAATCGTTTCAAATGCAGATGACTCTCTTCAAGCAGTGAAACTTCAGTGCATTGGAAAAACAGTGGAAAGTCAACTGTACACTAATCCAGGTACAAGAGCAGTACCATAGCTAATTAACTGATATTAAAATAGTTCTTGACACACACTGATTATGTGTAAATTTGGTCAAATTTAGTTACATTTGGACTTTACACTAAAGTAGGGATAGATAACCTGCATGCAGTCCTTGAATCACTTTTTGCAGAAGTCCAGTTAAAAAGGAGCTTGGGGCTCTGTCTTGCCTGGCTGTTTGGCTGTCTATCGGCAGGATAACTCTCCAAACAGAAAGGAACCAAATTTGGTGTGGTGGGAGAAGCCAGGACAAAAAAGAGCAGATTTGAAAATGGGCCAAGTTTGGCCAGGGATGATGGATAAAAAGAAGTCCATTAAAAAAAAAAATCCTCCATGCAACCCAGAATGCTGCCAACTTCTCAGCCACTTCATTCCTCTTTTCTGTTCATAAGGCCCAAAGTGGAGCATATGCAGCCTTCCCTGTGCTTCCCAATACGCACATTTACCCAAAAGATATAGACTCATACAGAATACAGAAACGCGCATGTAGAGGCAATATGTATGCTCACATGTGGATGAGTACATTTGTAGACTGATCAAACAGAGTGTTCAAACATTCAAGAAAAAAGAGATTCTGCACTAGTGAAATTAGAAAAGGAAGGGGGAAGGGGCTGAACTGATTTTTTGAATACCGAACCTACTCATTCTATTACTTCTGACTTGGTAGATCTTGGCTCAAGTATGTGATTTTTTTCTGTGTGAGAACATTTTGTGAACTAAATAATTATATCAAAGCTGAATTAATATAGTTCTTTGAGAGATCTGTGTGCATCCAGTAAAAGGACTGGATCATTGAATTGTTCCACAATTACTTTGAAGGATACAAGAAATAATAGCCATAGAAAGAGAGCATTCATGATATTTATTTGCCCTTCCAGAGTCCCGGTATATTTTACTACCAGTAGTTCTGCATCACCTCTATGTGCATCTGCAAGAGCAAAAGGATCTGATCATGTGTGCACGTATCCTTAGCAACATATTTTGCTTCGTTAAGAAAAATAGTTCTGTAAGTAGAAGGAACATCACAGAGAATAGGCTTTTAATTGTTAAGAAGTCTATCTCAAAGGAAAGTAAGATTAAACTATATTATTAAGATGCTTCTTAGATATGCTTCACTGTTTGTTATTTATGATTTCAGACTGTATCTGTGCATAAAGAGAGAACTAGCAAAAATGTTATTGTATCAGAAAGTGGTACTTTTTGGAGGTTGCTATCTGGCTTAGATATCTCATCAACTGTTTGAGAAAATGAAATGGTATTGATTTTCAAAAAGTTATGGTTCAGAAATATTAAAATGCATAATATCTTTAGAAGAGAAGGATAAATTATTAATTTAAAATAGCATTTATTTTATCAGCTTGCTTCAGCTTCATTTCAGCTGACTTCAGCTCACTTCATCAGACTCAGCGTACTATCAGAGGCGTCTGATGAAATGAGCTGAAGTTCATAAAAGCTTAAATGCCTTTTAATAAAATGTGTTAGTCTGAAAAGGTACTACCAGACTCCTGATTTTTTGCTACCATAGACTAACATGGTTCTCCTATAGTGCTTAAAGTGAATGACCAATATCAAGTATAATGAAGCTATTACTTCTGATCATTTGCAAATATATTTCCCTTGTGTGTAACCTAATATAGCTTTCACTTTTTTAAACTGCTATGCCTTATTACATTTATTTTCTGATCAACAAACATATTGTTACCAAACCATTTACCTCCCATCCATTCTTGTCTATCTCATTTCTTTTTCATAAAGACAGACATGGTTCTCCATTCAGTTTCAATCTGCTTGTATTACTATAATATGGTTTATGTGGAGCTCCTTTTGTGTTGGGCTCAGAAGCTAAAGCTGATACCGAATGCAGCATCCAGTATGATATATTGGGTATCTGCCTAGGCACATACCCCTCTGTTGAAGCAGCTGCACTGAATGCCAGTTAGCTACCAAGCAATGTTCCATGTTTGTCTTAAGATGTATAAGTCTCTAAATAATTTGGGACTAGTATACCTCCTTTCCTGCCTCCCATGTGCATATGCATAAACACACATATTGTATATATGAGTTTGAATGTCTGGAGTTGGTTGTGGGGCATGCCAAGGGGATGATTGAAGGGCTGGTTTTGGTTTTATGGTTTTGGTTTTATGGTTTTGTTTTTTTCAGTTCTGGTTGGGAGCCACCCAGAGTTGTGTTTTTACATAGGCAGCCATACAAATATTTTAAATAAATAAATATAAATAAATAAATGTGCCTCCCCTGCTGTAGACGTGACTAGTCACTGAGATAATTAGAGGAGGTTGTGCCTCATATGCCAAGAACCTCACTGTTATCTCAGATATGCGCTGACAAGCTTTCTTCATGGTGACACCTACTGTCTTGAATACTCACCCTGCTGAAAATTTTGAGACACACTATCTTTTATATGCTTGATGAAAGCTAGGTCTTCCTTGTATGGATATTGAACAAATGGTTCTTTTGGTTTTATATCTTTTTTCCTTATCTTCTTCATGACTATAGTTTTATACTGTTTGAATCTATTTTTATTGCTGTTCTTTAAATTTATAAACCACTTTGATAAGTATTTGCATTGATTGATTGATTGATTGATTGATTGATTGATTAATTGATTGATTATGTGCCATGAAGTCATTTTTGACTCCTAGTGACCACATAGATAGATTTTCTCCATGAAAGTATTTGCATAGGAAATGATATCAAAAGATTAAGTAAACAAATATCTCATAAATTGGTACATCCAGCATTCAGTAACTAATTCTCCCTGTGAATAGTATGATTTGGTTTACAACAAAATAAGATCATGGTATTTATTTTTCAGTACACCAACATGTTTGATCTTTTGTTTTTCTTTTTTAAACAAATTGAAGGATAAGTCAGTACTGGAAGAAATAGATGTAATTGTGAACAGTCTGCTAGATGTGTTACTCAGAACCATCTTGGAAATCACAAGCTGCCCACAAGCAGCAGGTTCTACCATGCGGCTTCCGTTTCAGGATGTTACAGTAAGTATTACAGTAGAAATACCTCGTCATGAATGTTGAACCATTGATTTATCTGCTTCCTACGGTGTATTATTTTTTAAAAAGGAAATAAAGTTTCAGTGTAAAATGTGTGCATGTATACACAAATTGCTCCAGTTTGCAATTGAAGCATTGAACCAGGCTTTCTCTTAGATTAGAATGTTGGGAAAATCCATATTTGAATTTGGGGATTGATCAGAGATTAAATTCAGTTGATGTGTGTGTCAGTATTCCACACTGAAACGTTAGGGTATTTGTAGTACCCAGTTTGTAGTAATTTCACTGACTAAAGCACTGATAATAAGTTCTCTAAAAAGTGTACAGTGTATTGCTAATTTGTCATGATGGATCTAATATGAGATGGAAATAAGCCTAAATTTGCTTCTTCAAGTTAAGGATCTATTAGCTATCTGTCAAGAGTGTGCAGAATTTGGTTTTAGGTTAGTGTTATGACTGCTAGGTTATCTAGGCTTCCAGAAAGTTTGGAAGGCCTTTATGAAAAAAGATTTGCAGGAAGATATTGCTTGATCAGTACTATCTCCAGAAATGTTTTCCTTCTTTCAACACTCCATAGAGGTAATGCTTTTATCAGGGCAACTGTAAGTACAGGTATTGTAAGCTTTTGAGCTCTTAGTATGCTGAAATGGTTCGAATGATTAAAGTTGGGGAAAAAAGAAGGGGTTATGTGACCTTACATTTCATGTCATATCTCAGTTATAGCTTATTTTCAAGCTGTTTGTCATACTTATTTTCTAGAATGAAAAGATTTTGGTGAGTTTAAATGAAAATCCAGTATGTATGTATGTGTATACACACACTCACACACAAACGCATACATACGTACATACATAATTTATTTGAAGGCCGCCAAGCTTCTGTGGAGCTTCACAAAGTTAGAAGAATAAGACTTTCATAAAAAACAATATCTATAGAACAACACTATCCAAGGGAACAAACCAAACAAACAAACCTGTCCCCAATCCCTTACCTCTGGTGATCCTAGAAAAAGAAGTGTGAGGTCTGTTTCAAAAGCAAAAGATTGGAAAAGCTCCAGGTCCAGATGGTGTGACCACCTTGTGTCTGAAAGCTTGTGCGAAACAACTGGCCCCTGTTTTCACGTATATTTTTAATAAATCGCTGGAGACGGGTTATGTCCCTTCTTGTTTTAAGAGCTCTACAATCATCCCAGTTCCTAAGAAATCCTCTGTTAGTGAGTTGAATGAGTACAGAACTGTTGCACTGACATCTGTGGTCATGAAGACCTTTGAGAGGTTAGTGTTGGCTCACTTGAAAGCCATCACGGATCCCCTGTTAGACCCACTGCAGTTTGCTTATGGACTTCAGCGCAGCATTTAACACT